TTGAATACCAATAACATTGGATTTATTTACATTTCAACGAGAAATTTAACCTCGAAGAAAAGAAATGTCGGTACGTGACTCGAGCTATTAAGCCCCCTTCTCCCCCTAAAAAGAAGTCGACGAAAAATAAAATAAAAATAAAAGTAAAAATAAAAATAAAAAAAAAAAAATAAGTAAAAAGTACAGAAAGAAAAAAAAAAGAAAAGAAAAACGAAAGCATAAGGGGAAATAGTTCGTTATCCTGTCGAGTAGCCCAATTAATTGTCTGGGTCGAAAAGAGAAAACTAAGCCAAAACGAAGCGAGAAGAGTAAAGAATGTTTCTCGAGTACTTGCGTTTAAAACGTACCTTTATACATTTATATATATATATATATATATATATATATAGATCTGTAGTTTGAAGAAGAATCTTTAGCATCCGGTGAAAGATTCTTGTCAAATAAAAGATTTTTTAAAGAGAACAACTAGTCCGGAAATTTCATTCAAATGAGACAGGATTTGAAAATTGTACGGTCATCTTTGTAAAGCTTCATAAAATTCATTTCGACTAATGTTACTTAAGAAACTTTTTTGTCAGGAACATCTTCTCTGCTATCCATTTATTTCTTTCTTCTATTCTTTATTTCGTTATAGTTATTCTTCAAAGTAAGTATAATCATGCGAGTAATGCATTTTTAATTTATCTCTTTAATTTCTATCTTTATTTTTTTATTGTCATTAATCGCTTGGGAAGCTTATAAATCATTAGTGGCTTCCTACTTATATATATATATATATATATATATTTTGTATTTAATCTTTTATTTAATTATTTCATTTAAATTTAAATTAATTATATCTATATTTATTATAATATTCTTATATAATAAGCATGTTAGGTACTTTAACTTATCTCTTTTATTTTCATAATTGTTTGGTAAGCTTTATAATTCGTCGATGGTTTTGTACTTGCATATTTTGTTATATTTTAACATTTTATTTAATGAAATTATTTAAATTTAAAT